ATCTCTCCGTCACCGACAGAATCGCTGATTAATGCCTACAGTTCAAAATAGTCATTCTGACTGACCGGAGTCTATGGTGGGTATGAACTATGTGAATAGGCGAGTTCGGAGAACCCTCGCCTAAATTAAATCTACTTATCACAATATATATACATTAATTTTCAAAGATGTATAATAATTGTATCCACCCTCATTTGCAGTTGGTACCTGAAAGCTCAACAAATTGCTCCTAAGAATGGAAAACCATACAATCAATTGGCAATCCTTGCAGTCTATACGGTAGGAGTTTACTGTACACAATTTCTATTTCATATAACTGACAAAATCATCCTTTGAATGTATGCCACTCATTGTTACTTAATTTCTAGTCACAATTCTGTGAAAATACCATTTTAAAACATTTCTGAGCTGCTGAATTTTCACAGCGTAATCAAGCTTTTGTACTAGAACCCAATAAGGAATCAGCATTAAAGGATCAGCATCTACCGCATGATTATTTTTTAACTATGATGATCACTTTCCCAAACACACACAGTAAATACCCACATATCTCTATATATCTCTTGATGTGATTGATTATATTTGACTCATCACACCAAGCTTCTCCACTTCTCTATCATTATTATTAGTATACATCTGTTACCGTAATGCCATAAGTTGCAGTGTGTCGTAATTTTGCTGTATTTTCATCCTACCATATTAGGAAATGCGAATTCCAAATATGGAATGATTACTCGCGTAAGCTCCTCTAATAATAAAAACAAACATTGCTACCACCAGAGTTTGACCGAATTCAACACAAAGAAGTTCGCTAATTCTGTTCTAAACATTTTGGATTTCGGCGCTCCAATGGCGTATCCTTGGAAGGAAAAGAAGTATAATAATAAGGTTATTACGAGAATACCTCAAAGTATGCACTCAGACAGTACTCTGCACATCGACCTCCGCTGCACATCGGTCGATACTCCAGCTGTACTGTCTTCGTGCATACTTTGAGGTATTCTCATAATAACCTTATATTATAATGATATAAAATGTAGGCACGTATTACAGTTTGATAATCCAAGTACTAACTGCTTTCCTTATTTTATGTGACAGAGACGTAAGCTTGATGCAGTCTATTATTATATGAGAAGTCTTGCTTCCACTAATTCATTTGGTACAGCAAGAGAAAGTTTAATGTCATTGTTTGAAGAAGCAAGGAGAAAGGTAAAAATCATAATTTGTAAATTTTGATGTTCTACTAAAGCCAACATGTATGTTGTATTCCTTATTTGTTTAATTTAAATCTTGTATAAAAATCTTGCACTCCATAGGACCACAAACTATTTGAAGGTAGGTGTCAAATCAAGGCAGAAAGTTCTATGTAAATTGTATAAATTTTCAGCTGAACATGCATGTACACGTATGATGTAATATTGGGATCATCGAATCTGTTCTTCTGTCTTAGGGGTTGACTATTAAAACTTTGGGGGGGGGCAGTGTAAATTATATTTTCTTCACTCAATTTTGAGTTAATTTGATAAAATTGCTGTGAAATTTTTTTTTTTTTACATTTTCTTATGCAATTTTTCATGTTTTTTTTTCTTCTTCGCCCCCCTAGTTTATAATGTTCAACCCCTTACTTTCTGTTTGTGGAATGCTTCTCAAAAACTGCTGAACAGGGTTTTCCTGTGTGTATCTTGATGGGTGTTGATAATACATGTAGCCATCTATTCAAAAACAATTATAAACATGCCATTCGCAAGACATTTCCTCTTATGACTGTATTCATTCAATTTAATACTAGGTCGAACACATAGAAAAAAAAAGGCATGATGTGGCAGTGGAAAGGAAGAAAGAAAAAGCTAAAAGACAGAATAAGAACTTCCACGGTGATATACAAAACAGTCGCCATGAAATATGGGTGTCACGAAATGGTGTTATCAAGTCAGAAGAAACAACTATTGATGATAATTTTAGAGATGACGTGGACCTTACAAAATTGTCACCTGTAGAGGTATCATATTATCTATTTTATTATTCATATTGGATTTTGATATTTATTTCTAGAGTTTTTTGTTGTCTGTTTGACATTCGTGTAAAGACCCATTGATAGCCAAGGTATTGCCTGGATATGCTCATTCCTATAGTTTTGTAGATATGCATGCTCTATTATAGAGATATTGTAACTATGGGTTAATACTAATCTAATCTAATCTAATCTAATCGAATCGAATTGAATCTACATTGTAAATATCTAGTGCAATCTATTCTACATGGTTAGCTAGTGCATGACAGCAAACTATTATCCATAGATAGACTCATCAGTTGTATTTATATATTATTTGACAGTTGAACAAGAGGTTTGTTCTCAGCTTTCTACATGTCCATGGCAAGCTGTTTACTAAGATTGGGTAAGTTATTATAATTATTTTGCCTATAGGTGTAAAAGGTGTGAGCAGAAGTATATCTGCTATATGCATTTATATCATTATATAAATTATATTGATATAGCGAATGTGGATGAATGAACATTTTTTTAAGATGAATTTGTTTTTTATATATAGTTCAATGGCCAAATGGATCTCACAGTGAACGAAAAAAGGTCTATTGTCAGCAATTTTCGTATAACCTTTTGATGAGAACTCACTTATCCATTTGTGAGTTCTTTGTTTGTTGTAATCATCACTCCATTCTTGTTTGTTTGATTTCAGAATGGAGAAATTCCCTGAAGTGGCTCATAGTATGTTAGATGAATTTCAGACATTATTACAACATTGTCCATCACCATTGGGTAATACTAGACTTTTACAATTGATGGCTATTAATATGTTTGCTATACGTAATACCGCACTCAGAGGTAAGTTCACAGTATTTGTTTTATCTCATGACCCAATACTAGACTCTTATAATTGATTGCTATACTAGTGCATATGCGCTCTGAATTAGCTGTAGCGGTATGTATAGGTCAATCTGGGTAGCATAAGCATATATTCATTACAATATAATATGAGGTTATTACGAGGATGCATGAAGTGGAAGTATCGACAGACAGACAGGCAATAAAGATATTATTATTATATTTACGTGATTTCATCAAATGATTACTGCTATGTTTGCTGCCAAATAACATCTTTTGTGAAATCATAATCTATTGTTCCTACCAAGATGAAATAAAATTATTTAAAATTTTTCCACATTGCCTCTTTAACGTTTGAATTACTCTAAATCAAATATACCACCATTCTTGCTAGTTTCAGTTGTTTAATTTTACTTGCCATTTGTACAAGTGCAGTAATAATCTGAAATCTAAAGCATTTGTATAGTAAGCTAGCAACAGTGATATTTTTGATGACATAACTTTATACTTAAATTTTAGATCCTGCATCAGATTGTGTTAGATCTTTCATCCAGGAACAAGCTATTCAGCTGGGCTTAGATATGTTTGGTCTTGTAGTATCCAGATGTGTTGAGCTACTCAAAGGTAGGTATGACATACTTTGATACAATGGGGAGGGATATACAGATATACTGGACAAGTTTAATAAATTAGAGATTATTCTTATGTCATGTAACCACCAGTATTCAGGTTTTCAGCATCAAAACTCACAAGCATTACATCCCATTATTAGACTCTGTTTGTACGCTGTTCGCAAACAATGACTTGTGGATTGACCTTTGTGTTTGCGTCCATGTGTGTGTGTGCATCTATGCGTGCGTGTGTCCGGACACATACATCATACATAATATTATACATATGCACATCAATTTGTTCCTTGATCTGATGGCGGGGTGGCAGCCATTTTTGTGCTAAAAAATCATCAAAATCAAGCTGTTTACAGATGGATTTTGTTCAAACTTGGTACATACATTGGATATTATAAGTCCCTAATGCACGTTATTTTGTATTTAAGATCAGATTCAATGGCGGACAGTGGCATTTCATTGAATGTGGTTCCAGAGCAATATCTCTTAATATGGACTTATTTGATGTTCAGGTGCAAGATTACTGAAAGTCAATCATTTTAATAATAACAAATATGGATCCGTATCTCTGACATGTTTTTGCAATAACCTCATGTTATTAAATATTCCTTCAGAAAACCATTGATGTATGTATTTGATAGGACGATTATATTTCACATGCTTAGACTGACAATATAAATTAATCCTAACTTTTTACAGAGAATGACAGCAGTTTTGATAATAAGAATGGCCTTCATTCTGATGATCTTCATGAATATTTACCAAGTATTAAGATATGGACAGATTGGATGGTATGTCATCCGCAGTTGTGGAACCCACCACCCGACTGCTGTGCCCCTGAACACAGGTAATATTACTCAAACATGGATCAATATGCCCAATACATGATGTAACTAACTTAACTGCTGAGCCAGTCACTCACCCACAACACAGGCAAAATATTTACATTCAAAAAAAAAAAAATTGAGCATGAAATGAAGAATATTGGATAATTATTCCGCCAATTTGAAATAAACCACATAGGTAAAAACTTATGCATTAAATCAAGTAACATTCTCCAAATATTTTAACCCTTTTTGTTCACAACTAGAAAATAGTTTGGGAGATTTGTCAAAATTAAAGATCCATGTTTTAAAATAATCATTATTTCAGGAAAAAATGTCTTTGCTGAAGGTGGTGCTTGAGGAATTAACAGGCACAGCCATTTTTTGTATAGTACTTGTCTTTGATGTGGCTCAGACAATCTGCATCCTCTGATGATTGTAGTATCCACCTTACTGCTTCTTCTTCTATCACATCACAAGGTAGCATTGGACACCAAGATTCAATAATAACTGTGTTTCATGAGCAGCGTTTAGAATATAATACAAAACACCTCTTTATACATGTTTCTGTTGTTTTGCATACAGTATATCTGTAGATGTATGGCTCTCACTGGCAGAGTTTGCCAATTTATTAAAAGCTGTTGATATATCCAAAGTTACGATCATTCAAGAATTTAAAGAAGGTAAGTATGCAGGACTGTGTATGAGTCTTTCTTTTAATAATATAGACACCTTCCCTCTGCCCCATGCTAACCAACTTTTCTCTACGCTTTCATGTAAGTCCTTTGTCTTCTGACTGGTTTGAGAATAATTGTCTAATTATCTCACTGCAGGTTATGACAGTGTTGTAGTGCCAGAGGATGTTATGATGTCGGGATTTGTACCTCTACTCAGTTTATCAGTAGAACCACATTACATTGATAAACAAACAGACATGGTAAAGTCTTACACATTACAATATCAGTTATATCAGTGAGAGTATGGCTGGGGATCAATTATATTACTTGGGATGGGTGGGATGGGTTCTTGCCAATAAATTATAAATTGATCTTTGTTTTTTACTTATTGATGTTTCCTACTTTATAATAACTGTTAGGTAATATGATAGTTACAGCAATTAATGTCTAGACATTTACGTGAAGCCAATTTTTATCAAATTTAGTACATAAGTACCATGTTTGGGCATATTAATTACCACATTTCAGCCTGTGTAACCATGCAAAATCACAAAAACTTCTGAGCAGATTTTGATCAAAGTTGCTATATACATGTAGTGGTGCTAAACATCTACTAGCTGATAAACTTACCCCTAATGCCATTGCTCTTTCACGGACTGTTGGGAATTTCCATTTCCAAAATATTATTTTATTCACATAAGAGCTTTGCAAAGTTTAATTGTGATGGACAATAACTCTTCATCAATAGTATCTGAACATGTAGAAAAATAAATATCTTTAAACCTTTTAGCTCATGCAAATTTCAGGTGTGTCTGTGGTCAAAATATGGCATATTTTAATGATCCAGCAATTTTTTGTTAATGTACACTTTCAAAAGAACAAAGTTAGGATCAATACACATGTACACCTTTTCTAAAAGTCACGCTTGACATTGACCCTGTGTTACATTGAAATGATGGGTAAGAGCAATGTTAATTGTCTTTGCCAGTAATTTTCTGAAAAAACATTATTTTTTTTATTCACAGAAGATTAAAACATTACTGTGAACAGCCTTCTTTGTCATCATTAGACTTGCATGTATAGGAAAAGTGTATCGCCTGAAGTTTTGGCTCAAAATGAATACATAATTTTCACATTAATTAGGTATTCCTTGCAGGTGCACTATGAGCAGCTGATAGTGCAGCTGCCCCTAATGTGAGCATATTCTCTCTGTGATTATGAATACCAGAGGTACATTACTTGGGGTTGCAACTCGCA